GTATAAATCAAGAGGCAGCGCCCAGCCATTCATTCATTCCTGCGGGAGCCATGCGGAAGCGCTGCCACAGCGACTTGTGCAAGGAGGTCTGCAGAGAGCCCGGAGCTGAAGTGGGCAAGAGAGAAGGAGCGTAGCATAGCGATAGGGTAGAGGCAGCCATAGCTGCCATAGCTGTAGTTTAGTGTGAAGTGTGTGTGTGTATGTGTGAGTGTTCTAAGTGACGCGTGTGGGATATCCAGGGTGATCCGGTGTATGTGAACTGTGAGTTGTTTGGGCGCTGAGTCGCCATAGCCAGTTGAAAGTGGACTCGTATCTGGATGCTATATCTCTGAGTTTTGAGTGGGTGCATGTCGCCAGTTTGCTGCGCTACTGTTTACATGCATGAAAAGTGTGAATGAGAACGAGTCTGATTTCAATACCAGCCATCATGGCGACTGTTCTGCTGAGAATGCTCAGCTTGGCCTTCCCTGTCATCACCCACATCATCCCTACCATTCACGTCCTCTCTGTCATCAAGGGGCAGACCGACTCCTGAGTCTTCTCTTTTCTTTCCCCATGTTTGGACCTCTATTGTACACTCCTTTACTTTCCCTTGGTCTCCTTTGCTTTGTCCTCCTTTCGATCTTTCCTTTTTCTTTATTCCCCTCTCACTTTTCTCTGCCTCTGTTCGCAGTGTACAAGTGAGCTGCCACCGTACACAGGAATGTAGGCATCTTACTCCCAAATACATAAACGTGGTTAGCCCTGCACAAGAAGAAAAATAAAAGAGAGGCAGTGACAAAAAGCCAAACGAAAGAAAGAAAAGAAAGAATGCACAAGAGAAGGGGAAAAAAAACATCGTACCGTGCGGTGCGACAACTTTCCTTATTCGTCCAGCAAATCATGACATCAAGACTGCCAACTTCCCTTATTCGTGCAGCAAATCATGACATCAAGACTGCAGATACCCACACTTCGAAAAGAGAAAAAATGAAAAAAAAAAGGAAGAAGAAGGAGGCACTTGCATTAAGGCCGTAGAATCCCTGAGCAACATTGAGTTGGAATTCTGATTGAATCAGATGAATACATCCAATATATTAATATAACATACGAAAATTGTCCAGTTGATGTAGCTCAGTGGTTAGAGCACCGGTTGGAAATGCGCATTGTGGTATAAGGTTGCGGGTTCAAATCCGCAGCCTTGCGCATGGACACCAGCAGGGCGTTAGATTGACGCACGGCTGGACACACTATCCTCTGACCACTACATGGTTATGATTACAGCCCCTGCCTGTATTGGTCAGGGGATCAAGTCCCGGGTGTTGTATGCCATTTCTGGGTTTTGCAGGGCTTGCTTGGGGTATTGGTCTTGGCTGTTCGATTGTCCTCCCCAGTCTGATATACCACACATACGTGCCATCTCTGATTGATGTTCATACGGTTGAGTCTTGCAGATATATCTCACAGGGTACGGGTTCGAGCTGGGTTACAGACTTTGGGGGGGTTTGTCCGGCCGGGCCCGTTATACATACATACTGCCTTCGGGTATACAACTGGTGTCTGGATATATATACACACATATCATACGTAGCCTACGGGCTAAAAACATACATCCACAGTTTCCGAACACATACATACGGCCAACGGGCTTGCATATGTCTACAGTTGACTGAGGGAGGGGTTAGAAAAGACTTAGTCCCTAGGGTGTAGATTACGGTAGTTACCCCAGCGGGTCTGAGTTCCACCTAGACAAGATAGGGGCAAGCTAGGGGAAGGACGGTAGGACTGTCAGTCTGAGTTCCGCCTGGCCTTGGGTAAGCTGGGGGAAGGACAGTAGACTGTCTGGTTGGGGTACTGACTGCTAGTTAGCCTGTCCCCGAAGGTAAACCCAGGGGTCTATAGTCTCTTGTATAAGGACACGAGGTTGGTAGAATATAGTAATGCCTGGCGTCCGAAGTTCCCGTACAGCGTGGTCTGTCCGATTCCGCTTCCACTGGGACTGGGGTAATAGCTAGCCTTGGTGCCTGTCATGCTGTCTGGTCCATGTCACCCACCTGCTGGTTGGGTGATGATCCTCAGTGGGTTACACTGAGGTAGGATAGTAGGGTAGGGGATACGCTGGGGGTATTGATGAGTGGTTGGGTTGGGAGGTGACCTCGTGATCTTAGGACGGCCGAGGCTCAGTGCTTCCGGTGTTCCCTGTGTGTGCCTGGTAATTAGCCTCTACAACACCCCGGACTTTTACATGTAAAAAAAAAAAAAAAAAAAAAAAAACCAACAACAACAACAACATACGAAAAAAGAGGAGAATAATTTAATAAATAAATTAATACCGTAATAGATACTATCATACTAGTAATATTATCATTATGATGATAAATTATAATATAGTGTGAGCCTGTGAGGCATATCGTAGAGCGCCTACCACATTATTTTAAAAAGAGCAGCAGGAAGCGGGATGATCGAGAAGAGAACCGAAAAGCCATCCGTACAAAGTAGTACGAAGTAGTACAAACACAACTTCAGACTGGAGTGTGAATGCAGAAAAGGATGCACTGGCAGTACCGAGCCCGTGCCGCCGAATGGTACACACGTGCAGCTTCTGATGAATAGGTCATGAGTTAGAATCCTCATTGAATCCAATGGGTATAGTAGGTATACTAATGATAGGGGCTACCACTTAAAAAAAAAAAAAAAAAAACAGGCGGGTAAAAGCAGTGAGTGCAGAAAAGGATGCACAAGTTCAGCACAATGAAATTCAGAAGGAGCAAGAAAATTGAATAAATGCCTTTTCATTTCATAAGCACCGGAGGGCTTCATGTCAATGTGCTTGAGCGGACCGCATCTTCGCATCTCTTGCTCTTTAATATCTATAGTCGCAACAGAATCAACGGATGTCATTAAATCACACAAGAGCACACGAGAAGTCAGCGCAATGAGCAGTTAAAGACAATAAATAGGTTGCACCCAGAACCAAACCTGTTAAAGGCAAATACATTTTTAATATACATAGTAACTATATAGGTTGCAGCCAGAATAAAAAACCTGAAACGCTAAGGTTATACTGAGACTGCAAGAACCCACAGTTTCGCCGCGACCTTCATAAGTTGTACCATAAATGTAAACTCTGCAGACCTCTGCATATTTTTTATTTTGTCCCTTGCTCTTTTGGAAAATTGTTTGTCCGTCCTTGCTCATTTTGACATATGACCTTGGGGAATTTCTGCAATTTCTCAACGGGGACACAACTGTAATTTTTTTTGCTGAAAAGGATTCGACCATCACCCGATAGCGGCGGTAGGCGTAAAAATAATGCACGAGCGGCAAAGGTCAACATACCTTCCCGGTACTTCTGTACCCTGCCAGGAAAGTGGATAGATGCAGCATTACCGGCCCATGGAAAGTTATATCTGGGTCCAGTTCCTGAAACAGGCTGGGCCCGGAGACGGTCGGACTAGGTGGCTGTCCGATTTACAAGTCCAGCCAGCCCAGTCTCAACGAACACATTGGTGGATGCCGCTGGACTGCCTCAACGCTGACATCATGCTTGGACTCCCTCCACCGCTCTGAGAGAATCATGCACTTGTGCTGGCTGCCGTTTCGAGCACTGAGCTAAGCAAGTGGGAGTAGCGCTAGCCCTTCTAGGATAAAAGAAGAAGTCCGTAGGTAGCAAGATGCTAGGCTGTGGCTCATCAGGGTCAAAAACTGGTATGAAAGGAGAGAGGAGCCAGACACCTGGAGGCTGTTTCCTCGAAGGCAGGTCACGGTTGTTGATTCATGGGTGTTGCGGTGAACCATGTACACTTCCAGACTGCGATAATAACTAGCTTAGCGCCCGCAGTGCCGGCGGTGCGGGCGATGCCTGCACAGAAAAGAAACGTAGAAAAATGGGGATGGGAACGACCAGACCTCGATGAATCCAACTGCAATCACGTCCACATCCTGGTAGAAAAATGCCCTGAGACTGTGCGCACTGTGCACAGACGACTGGGGAGAACGCCGACGCCCAAGCCCACTCTTTTATCGATAATGCCGAATCCTCCTCTGGTTGGTTTTCTTGTGATATAATGCCACACTATCTTTGGTATGAAGTTCTCTTCGTTAGGGTTTCCCGACCACAGGTAGGCTCTTGCTTTGCGATTAAAGTCCTTAATAATAATATGGTCAGGCACTGTCAAAATTGAGGCTATATATACCACATCATTGAAAAAACGGGCGGATTGATAGTCAGAGCTTGGCCAAGCAGGGACGTGAATGAATGTGTTCACCTACCTGCCCGTCTTGTTAATTTGATTAGAGAGTAGGTTTCGAGCCATTGGGGGTGCAAAACCATCTTATGTCAGGAAGACGCCCAAATAACATGAGGGTGTCTCACGTTTCCCCCATGTCATGTCCCTCTCCGAGCTCGAGAGTTGGGGTCTTCCATTCTTCTTCTTCTTCTTTCCCCTACTTCACAGACTCAGGCTTAGAATACGAGCAACAATGGATTCCATGCAAGCGTACATTGATCGAATCAGAAAACATATCCACTACACACACACACACACACACACAGAGGCACAGAGAGAGAGAGAGAGAGAGAGAGAGAGAGAGAGAGAGAGAGAGAGAGAGAGAGNAGAGAGAGAGAGAGAGAGAGAGAGAGAGAGAGAGAGAGAGAGAGAGAGAGAGAGAGAGAGAGAGAGAGAGAGAGAGAGAGAGAGCGTTACTGATGTTTTAAGTCGCTTGAGCCTCTTTTTCCCATAGCTACGGACACCCGGACAGGGATCCGGACTGTCCAAAGTCCGGTGTCCGATCCAGGTTTCCGGATCCCGGTCCGGACAGTGGGAAAATGCGGGGTAGCCCAATTTTTTTCCAGGCGGCCAAGGTCGTTTTCTTCCAATATGGGCCGCCGTGGAAAAATACTTGGCCATTTTTTTAGTGTTGTGCACGGCATACAGACAGGGCCGGACGGAGGCTCTAAGTTTTATTTTCCCGCCCTGCCCTGGTTTCAAAGCAAACCAACCTCGTTTCGGTATTTTGTCATTTCCACAAGGCCCTTACTGTGCACTATCAGACTCGCCCGTATCTTCCCAGGATAGGTAGCTTTGTGCATTCCCCCCCCCAAAAGAAAGAAGTCTGAAAAAAAAACGAAAAAAGAGATCCTACTTTCGGAAAGAAAACACTGCCCGTCAGAACGGGCGCCTGCAATGACTTGTGCCTCGCTGCACTCCTCTCCAAATGTCCAAAATGAGACTGAATCGACCACTAGAACATGGAAAGATACATTGCCATCTTGTTTGTCTTTTCTGCATGTGGAGAGTAGTGCAGCTCCACTGCTCACTAAATGTGCAAAATGAGAATGCATCTTCCGCTAGAACAAGGAAAGATACACCACCATATTTTCTGTCGTTTGTGCATGTGGTGAGTAGTGGAGGGATGTTGTGTGCCCGCTCTCCAAGGGAAACCAATTTTTTAATTTTTTTTTCTCTTTTTTTTTTCTTTTTTTTTTTCTTGTTTTTGGCAGTAGGACATGACTGTGTCCTCTCAATTCATGTGTACCGTCCCTGGGACGAAGTCCCACAAGCAAAGAGGATTGGACTGAACGCCTGAATTTGGGCGTGTCTGTGGACAGGTGCAGAAAATCGAGATTGAACTGCTTTTCTGAATCTCTGCTTTAAACACGTCCAGATTCAGGATCTTAATTGAATCCTCCTTGCTAGTGGGACCTCACCCCTGGATTGGACGCTCGTACATTCCAGCAAAAGACAAACAACATCAACGGAAAGAAAAACTGAAACGAATATGACATTTTAACTTTAAAAAAAAAAAAAAACAGTGCCTGCAACATATGGGGGGACTTTTTGTTCC